AATATAATTAAAATTTATACAAATATATTATATATAATTTTTATTAAAATAATTAAAACTTAGTTTTATTAAATTTTTATTAGCTTTTTAAACTTTTTTGCAAAAAAAATAAAATTTTAATTGAATAAATATATGTTTAATTTTAAAGTTTTAAATTTAATTTTGATTTTTTATTTAAAAAAAAACGGATCCGGATATCCACGGGTATTCGAGTTTTAGTCCGGATATCTGAATCCCGAATATTCGGAAGGCCCAAATCCGGATCCGGATATCAATTTTACTGATCCGTCGAATCCGGATCCAGATATCCCAAAATACCCCGGATATTCGATCCGTCCCACCCTTAGTTTCTGCTGTTTTTGTGGACCCTCCCTCTTTAAGGACCACATTAAAACACCTGATATTGTTGCTCTAATGGATAGGTATGTAAATATGGATATCTTATTATATAAAGTAGACTTTTCTCTTATATGAGAGTGTCATGTCACTAATTAATCTCTTCTCAAGATGACATGTGTCATGGTTCTTAATTAATCTTTTAATTTTTTGTTTGTTTGTTGGTTCATCTTTAATTAAGAATTTTTATGGCATCATTCAATGAATACACATTTTCTACATATTTACTGCAATTTTACTAAAATAATTTTTTCTAAAAAATATTATATATTAAAATAATTGGTAAGTTTTCTCGCAAAATCTCTACATCTAACGTTTATTATTTTTATTCAGATTTCTTAAAAAGATACCTCAGCTACTTTTGATTAACCAAAACGTCTTTGGCATCAGCTAATAATAAACAAAGTGAATCACAACTGAAGATTAGATAAATAAATCGTATTGTGGCCTCAGTCACCGCTAACTCGGTTGTACGCATGAAGAAACCGAAAATATTCCTAGGATTCCTGACATGAGGAGATCTCGCGCGAGTGGTCGACATAACTCATCGATCAAATATGAAATATGTATAAATGGCTTTACAATGGTATGGTCTGATTAGATATTTTGTTAACTTTATTGAATATAGTTATTTAATACTAACATTTAAATTAAAACCCAAATTCAAAAAAATACTAGATATCAACAATAACTGGTTCTAGATTACTTAAAGTAATAAATCTTATAGTTCTTTTACTGGAAAATAATAATTCTTAAAGTTACAAATACAAAATAACAAATGCGGGTTTATTGCTCGATCTCTTTCATTAATAATCATTCATTTCTTTGGCAATCTATAGTTTTTTTTTTTTTAACACAAGCTATAGTTTCTTCTTAAGTTCTGCATTTAATGACAAAAACAAATTAAATAATGTATTTTCATTAGAACTATATATTACTCCCTCTATTTTTTTATTGTAAATAGTATTAAGAATTTTTTGGTTTCAGACTATAGATAATTTTCTCATATCTAGGTAACTTTTACATGGATATAATGTGACCAATCAAATAATGTCTATTTTTAATAATTAGTAAAATTTATAAATTTACTATGCTCTAAAAAATAAAAACTTTCTTAATAGTAATGTCTTTATTTTAAACTATTGTGAAATGGAAGAAGTAATACTGTATGTAAAAGTTTAGAAAAATCTCACTAATAAAAACAAAATTTAGTTTATCGTATTTTGTTAATTTTTAGTAAAACTTTTAAACCCATAAAAATAAGAGAAAAAATAACAAAACATGCCACTTGGGTTTCAATTCAAATTATCACTCTTTTCTTACCTCTTCCAATAAAACATGAAAAGTATCATCATACAACTTTAGTAAATAAGTATTTTTTGTATTTAATTCTATTAGCTCGAAACTTATGAATTTGTGTGGTACTAAACAAACTGTCCTTTAAGAATAAATGATCCGAGAAAATTTATATATATTAACTAAAATATTGAGACAATACGATTTTTATTCTCTAAATACATTATTGTTTTGTAATAATCATACCTCCTACAATTTGCTAAAGTATTAGTGCAAAATAGATTACAAAAAATAATTGAAAATATCAAATGTTTATTAGAATTTGAATTTTTTCAATTGCTTATAACGTGCTTATCCGCCCGTATGGCGGGTTTTACCTATCTTATTATATAAAGTAGGATTTTCTCTTATATGAGAGTGCCATGTCACTAATTAATCTCTTCTCAAGATGACATGTGTGATGGTCCTTGATTAATCTTTTAATTTTTGGTTTGTTTGTTGGTTCATCTTTAATTAAGAATTTTTATGGCATCATTCAAATGAATACACACTTTCTACATATTTACTGTAATTTTACTACAATATGTTTTTCTAAAAAATATTATACATTAAAATAATTGATAAGTTTTCTCGCAAATCTCTACATCTAACGTTTATTATTTTTATTCAGATTTCTTAAAAAGATACCTCAGCTACTTTTGATTAACCAAAACGTCTTTGGCATCAGCTAATAATAAACAAAGTGAATCACAACTGAAGATTAGATAAATAAATCGTATTGTGGCCTCAGTCACCGCTAACTCGGTTGTACACATGAAGAAACCGAAACGATTCCTAGGATTCCTGACAGGAGGAGATCCCGCGCGAGTGGTCGTAATAACTCATCGATCAAATATGAAATATGTATAAATGGCTTTACAATGGTCTGATTAGATATTTTGTTAACTTTATTGAATATAGTTATTTAATAATAACATTTGAATTAAAACCCAATTCAAAAAAATACTAGATATCAAGAATAACTGGTTCTAGATTACTTAGATTAAAATCTTATAGTTCTTTTACTGGAAAATAATAATTCTTAAAGTTACAAATACAAAATAACAAATGCGGGTTTATAGCTCGATCTCTTTCATTAATAATCATTCATTTCTTTGGCAACCTATAGTTTTTTTTTTTAACACAAGCTATAGTTTCTTCTTAAGTTCTGCATTTAATGACAAAAACAAATTAAATAATATATTTTCATTAGAACTATATATTACTCCCTCTGTTTTTTATTGTAAATAGTATTAAGAATTTTTTGGTTTACGACTATAGATAATTTTCTCATATCTAAGTAACTTTTACATAGATATAATGTGACCAATCAAATAATGTCTACTTTTTTATAACTAGTAAAAATTATTAATTAAATACTATGCTCTAAAAATAACAACTTTCTTAATATTAATGTCTTTATTTTAAACTATTGTGAAATGGAAGAAGTAATACTGTATGTAAGAGTTTAGAAAAATCTCACTAACAAAAACAAAACTTAGTTTATCGTATTTTGTTAATTTTTAGTAAAACTTTTAAACCCCTAAAAATAAGAGAAAAAATAACAAAACATGCCACTTGGGTTCAAATTAGCACTCTTTTCTTACCTCTTTCAATAAAACATGAACAGTATCATCATACAACTTTAGTAAATAAGTATTTTTTTGTATTTAATTATATTAGCTCGAAACTTATGAATTTGTGTGGTACTAAACAAACTGTCCTTTAAGAATAAATGATCTCTGAAAAAATTTATATACATTAACTAAACTATTCAAACAATACGATTGTTATTCTTTAAATACATTATGTTTTTTAATAGTCATACCTCCTACAATTTGCTAAAGTATTAGTGCAAAATAGAGTATAAAAAATAATTGAAAATATCAAATGTATATTAGAATTTGAATTTTTTCAATTGCTTATAACGAGCTTATCCGCCCGTAGGGCGGGTTTTACCTAGTGTTATAATAAAATTAATCGTTCTCGAAAAGTATCTACATCAGTGTGCAAATTCACTTAATTTCTAACGGATATGTATGAAAATAGGTTGATAACAAAAAAAGGTATGTCGGTTTGACAAAAAAAAAAGTTTGTCCATATATCTATTTTATTAAAACAGAATCACTCTTATCTTTTACCCTTATTATACCGTGGAATATTACTTAAAATGCCATTGGACCTACATTTTTAAAAAATTGACCTTTTCATAATTGTATCTAACTGCCAAGTCACTAAATCTAACCACGATTAATATTGAACAGTTACTTTTCATGGCCCATTCAGTTACCTGCTTTATGATACCAGATATCTAGGAATCAAACCAAATATTCTCAACTCAAATTCGTATTTAAGTTATTGGATTCCTTAATCCCGTAATAATTTAATTCTGCAAGTCCATGTACATGAACTGATCTGAGCAAAATTTTAATAGATCGATTAAGTTTGAGCTGAGACAAGATCTGGTCGGTTGTAATACAAAGAGGGAGACAGAAGAATTTAACAAGAAACGAAGGATATTAGAGATACCGGAACGGATCTGAAAAGAATTTTCAGATCCATGAGTTTGAAACCCCATCCTTTCAGTGGTATTAGTGAGAGAGAGAGAGAAACATTGTTCTTTTCACGCTGGAATCTCTAGAATGAGACACGAAAGAGATAGGACGATATGTTTGGTTGGAGAATAATTGGGCCTTGGCCGTTGATTTGAATCAAAGTACAAGGTCAAAATGGAAATATAGTATGTACTGATTATTGGATTGCAATAATAGTATTGGACTTTCTTGGTATGGGCTTTGGTATTGTTAGTTTTAAGGTTAATAATTAATCTAAAAAAACAAAACAACAAAAACACATCCTAAAAAAATTAGACGGATACATCAAAATCAGATTTCCCTCCAAATTAAGATAGGTTATGGAAATCATTATAATACACATCAAAAAATTCAATATAATTATGAAAATATCTTACTAATCATTTTAAAATATATATCTTTTATCCAAATATGAATAAAAATAATAATATGATTGAAAAAATATAAGTATAAAAAGAAATTTCTAAAAAAAAAGAAAAGAAAAAATATACCCGTCCTTCGGAGGGCGGGTTAGAATATAGTGTACATGTTTATTTTAAAAAAATGGAGAAAAAATATTTTTAAGAAATGGCAGATTCGTAAAATATGAGATAACCAATTCATTTCTACTGAGATCCGACCATAAAAGAGCATAAAGGAGTTAGTTTCTATTACATATTGGTCATTTAGTTAGCCATGGTGAGAGATGCGAACGCCGAGCAAGTCCTCTCCGGAGAAGCGTCGAGTAGCCACCTGAAAAGGCAACGACTTGCAGAAGAAGCCGAAAGCGGCGAGAATGTTGGAGAAGTAACGGCGACAGTAGCTGGTGACGATGAGGTTACAACATCGGAGGTACGATCAGGGACGCTGTTGGATCTGGATCTTCTCGACTGTCCTGTTTGTTGCCACGCACTGACTAATCCTATCTTTCAGGTCTCACCTCTTCATTCCTCCTTGTCTGTGAAGGAAGTTTCTTTCACTGAATATGTACATACCATGTTTATCCTTCCTTGTCTGCTTCTTTTAATAGTAGTTAAATCCAGTGTTGGTTTATCTTAAAAACTGCACGACTTTTTTTTGCATTAGGAAGATGTTAATAAAGGAAGCATCTTTCATTACAGAACATCACTGAAATGTACACATGATATTTATTTTTAAATTGCATGATTTTGCATTAGGAAGATATTAATCAGTAAAAGGAAGAATCTTTCATTACAGAACATCACTGAATAACAGTGTGACAATATCTCTCAGTGACGCCTTTTTTTTTTCTTTTGCAATCTCAGTGTGACAATGGACATATAGCTTGCTCTGTTTGTTGTATCAATCTGAGGAACAAATGCCCTTCCTGCACTTTGCCCACTGGTATCCACCGCTGCAGAATAATGGAGAGAATTGTGGAAGCAATCATGGTCCCATGCCCTAACGCAAAACATGGCTGCACCGACAAGTTCTCTTACGGCAAAGAGTTGGCACATGAGAAGGGATGCAGTTTCTCTCTATGCCACTGTCCTGCACAAGACTGCAACTACGCTGGTCTCTGCAATGATCTCTACCGTCACTACCATGCTAACCACCGTGGCTATTGTGAAACTTTCACTTGTGGGTTTAACGGGGATGCATGGATGCACATCAGTGATAAGATTTTAGTTCTTCGGGTAGGTAGAGAAGGTCCATTGGTTGCGATTCAGTGTTTCGAGGAGGAACAAGGAGTGTATGTGACTGTGAACTGTATAGCACCTTGTGCTTCTGGAATTTCAGAGTTCTCCTATCAACTCTCTTACTCGTACCGAGGTAAATCCATGTCGTTTGGATTGGGTGAGATGAATAGGATTCAGAAAGTGAGCTTCCAAACTCCTGAGAAGGACTTCATGTGTGTTCCTCACTATTTCTTGGATGGGCGGGAAAGTTTGAAGATGAAAATTTGCATCCGCAGGTGAGGAGAACAAGAAAAGAAAACATGATGGGGGAGGCTGAGGTTGTTGGCGGTGCTATTAGTAGTATTTGTGGTTACGATCTAACTATTTGCTTCACTGTTGGACTTGTTCGGAATTTAGCTGTTTTGGACCTAGTTTTAGTTTCATTCCTCTAGTAGCCAGTTTCTCGCTGGAGGAAGGCTAACTCCAAGTATCAAGACTGAAGTTGTTGACAAAGTTAGTAGTCGTTCTTGTGTTTATTATCTAAATAATTGCTTCATTGTAAGACTTGTTCCGAACTTACCTATTTTGGATTCTGTTTTAGTTTCTTTGATCTCTCTGTGGTCTTTGGTCAGTTTCTTGTCCGTGAGCGGAATGTTGAGAAGATTAACTTTGGAAAGTAGAAAACAAAAGTAATTTGAAAGAACAATCCAAGAAAAGCAACAGGCATTGAACAAAAGATTTCTTGGGCCTGTGTGGGTACAACTAGCTAATCGGAATAATATTTAAGGAAAATTCCACAAAAATATTCAACTTAAATTTCATTAAATTTTTAATACACTATTTTTATTATCTAGTTTAAAACTTCAATAAATTGTTTTATTAATTTTAATCTACTAACTTTTAAAATTATGCTCGTTTAATAGTTAAGTTATTTTAATTATAATCCAAATATCAATATTATCAAACAAAATTTAAAAAGTTAAAAAGAAATATTATAATTTCATTTTAATTTTTTGGAAATAAACTAAAATTTTCATAATCTTAAACTTCAAAATTTTAGTTTTATTTTTAAAATTGAATTAAATTTCTCAATTTATATACAATAGAAAATAGAAAAATAATTGTTTGGATTAATAAAATTTATTTATGTATTTGTACCAAATATAATAATATACGTAATGGTTACTAAACTTTTAATTATTAGTATTTTGTTCGGCAGGAACATGATACTTCATCTTGTGAACTTTCTACTATGAAAAATGCCAAATTCAAGACAAAATAAGAGTTTAGGATTTTAAATTGACTCCTTCAAATACATTTTTAGTTCATCTCCTGTTTTCAACAACTAAGGTATACACAATTCATCATCTCATAACCAAAATATTTTTTTTCTCATGACCAAAATCTTCAACCAACTAGTTCCATAATGAATTTCAAATGCAAATATCAAAATATAAAAATATTAATATTAACCAAATACCAATATATATATATATATTAAGTTAACTATTTGAGTTAATTATTATTCACGTAATAGATAATTATTTTATATGTTCAGTAATATTTTAGTGTATTTTGGATACATATTAAGAATTAAGATAATAGTTGGTACAAATTTTTTTTCTGGGATGCTGAATTTTTCAGGTTCTATCAAATATCCATTTAAATTTGGATTCAGTTTAGATAATATCCATAATCGGAAAAATACCATAAAACAAGATTTAGTTATGTCGAATTAGGTGTCAGTCGGATTCATTTTTATCTGATCCGCCTAGTTTGGCCATCTTAATTTTGCCACAAATTAATTTCTTTCAGTTTTCTTTAACTACTTGAAAATTTTAGATAAACCCGTTTGGATTATATCGAATATCCATTTGAGTTCGGATTTGATTCAGATAATCTTATATATAATAGCACACTTTCAAGACTTCTCAAGGTGTCCACGTCAGTATTTTGTGGGTCCCACATGTTTAATTTTTACAAGTCTATAGTTTTTCTAAAATGACTATGAACAATGAATAAACTTTAGCCAAGTGGTATGAGGGATCTAATTAAGTCTGCAAGCGTGTGAGTTCAAACCATGCAGTGTTAAAAAAAAAACTAAAATACATAACAGCTGTATGGTTTGAACTCACACACGCTTGCAGACTTAATTAGATCCTTCATACCACTTGGTTAAAGTTTATTCATTGTTCATAGTCATTTTAGAAAAACTATAAACTTGTCAAAATTAAACATGCGGGACCCATAAAATACTGACGTGGAAACCTTGAGAAGTCTTGAAAGTGTGTTATTATATATAAGATTTTAGTTTTTTTTTGTTTGGGTTATTATCATATGGACTTTTTATTTTTAATATTTTTTCTTCTGCTCTTATTGTTTAAAGCCCAAAATAGTGGGAAAATCCTAAAGTTTAACGAATTCAAACCCAAAGATAATTAAAAATGGATAACAAACGAACAGCCCAAAAAACAAAAAACAAAACGAGTCCCACGCGGCACTATCATATCCTAATATATATTTTCAAAAAATTATGTATGTGAAATAAAATAAAATAAAACAACAAAATTTAAGTGTTTTTCGTTATTTATAAAATGAATATGTAATTTAGTTATGTATTTTAGTTTGTTCGTTTGGGTTATTATCATATGAGCTTTTTGTTTTTAATGTTTTTTTTCCTTCAAAGCTTATTGTTTAAAGCCCAAAATAGTGGGAAAATTCTAAAGTTGAACGAATTCAAACCCAAAAACAATTAAAATGGATCAAAAAAATGACAGTCCAAAAAAACAAAAATAAAAAACAAAACGAGTCTCACACGGCACTATCATGTCCTAATATATATTTTCTTTTAGAACATATTTCCTAATATATATTTTCAAAAAATTATGTATGTCAAATAAAATAAAAAACAACATAATTTAAGTATTTTCGTTATTTATAAAGTGAATATGCAATTACTCTTACATTTTTAATAGTTACTATAATTTCATTTTTATCAGACTCCGGCAAATGGATTTCCATACTCAATGACGCCGTAAAAATACAACATCATTCATGAACAAAATCCAAACTTAAAAAAAAAAACCATATACAAACCTCTGTAATGAAACCCAAACAACAAATGTTAGCTTAAATTAAAAGTTATTTTCAAATTGATAAATCGTTTAGTACACATATAAATACTATAAATAAATAATTATATCAAGTTTTGACCTCCGATATAAAAACTATTTACAACATAAAAAATAAAAAACAAGATAGACACTTATTTTTACACAGTAGAAACTATATTATAGTTTAATTATTCCTATAAACCTTACTTCACATATAAATAACATTTAACACATTATATATACAATACTTTCACTTTAAACTCTTGCTATATTATTTCCATTTCATCATTATAGGTATTATTAGAAAAACCCACTAAACTAACAACCAAAAAAACACAGGCAAACATCAATGATCCCGGCCCCCGCGCAGAGGTATGCAACTAGTATCTATAACCGGAAACAGCATAAAACAACATCGATTTAGTATTTATGTCGAGTTCAGAGTGGGTCGGATGTATTTTTGTCAGATCAGGTTCGGTTCGGTCCAGTCTACTTTTGCCATACATTAATTTCTTTGAATTTTTTTTTTTTTTTTAACTTCTTAAAAACTTTAGATAAACTCATTAAAGTGAGAAAAGAAAAAGCCCAGTAAAAGCCCAGACCGGATGATCTCGAGTTTCTGACCTAGATATAAATACAAACATCTACTAGTAATGACTCCACAGCGCTTCACCATCTTCGCGAGATTACTTCAGGACTTTAGGGTTTCTGTGATCCGCAGCTGCACACATCAAACATGGCGACTCAAATAAGCAAGAAGAGAAAGGTGAGCTTGTAAACTTCTTGTTTTCGTCAAAATTGATCTCTTTCGCTGCATCGTATGTTGAACTGATTCCTTGAGTTCTGCAGTTTGTAGCAGACGGTGTGTTCTACGCTGAGCTGAACGAGGTTCTCACTAGAGAGCTTGCGGAAGATGGGTACTCTGGTGTGGAGGTTAGGGTTACTCCTATGAGGACTGAGATTATCATCAGAGCCACACGTACTCAAAATGTTCTCGGTATGTTCAGTTTAACCTTCCTTTAGAATCAAAAGCTTGGGACTTTATGTGTAGAAATCTTATAAGGATTGGATTGGATATTTATAGGTGAGAAGGGAAGGAGGATCAGGGAGTTGACATCTCTTGTTCAGAAGAGATTCAGATTCCCTCAAGACAGTGTTGAGCTTTACGCTGAGAAGGTTGCCAACAGAGGTCTCTGCGCCATTGCCCAGGCTGAATCTCTCCGTTACAAGCTTCTTGGTGGACTTGCTGTCCGCAGGTATATACATTTCTATGTTTGGTTTTTTTTTTTTTACTATTGACACTTTTATATGATTGATCCAAGGTGCATTGAGATAAGTAGATTGTTAGCTTGATAGGATATGGTTTATATCTTTAGGCGTGATTAACTGTGGGGGACAATTATTAATATATTTGCATCCTTGTGTTAGCTTATTCATCTAGATCTTACATTAGACACTCTACAGAGTTCGCACTCTTAAATTTAGTTGCATAAGGTTTTGAGCTAGGACTTTGCTTGTTGGTGGGTTTATATGGTTGAGCGTTTTATTTGCTAGTGCGCTCGTTTCTTAATAAAAGCAGGATGTTAATAATGCAATGATGTTGTATTGTATAGGGCTTGTTACGGTGTCTTGAGATTCGTCATGGAGAGTGGTGCTAAGGGATGTGAGGTGAGTATAAATCCCAGTATTCTCTAACTGTTTTTCCTGTGTAAAATATCTCTAGTAAAACAAATGCGTACTATCATCAGGTGATTGTGAGTGGAAAGCTCCGTGCAGCACGTGCCAAGTCCATGAAATTCAAGGACGGTTACATGGTTTCATCTGGTCAACCTACCAAGGACTACATCGACTCTGCTGTGAGACATGTTCTGCTTAGACAGGTGAGCGTTTCTTCTGAGTTTCTTTGTTTGCACCTTAACCGCCAAGCAGTGTCTAATTTAGACTCTGGTAAAACTCTCAAATGTGCAGGGTGTGCTCGGAATCAAGGTGAAGGTCATGCTTGACTGGGACCCTAAGGGAATAAATGGACCAAAGACACCATTGCCTGATGTTGTCATCATCCATACTCCCAAGGAGGAAGATGTTAACTCTGCACCTGCTCAGGTTGCTGCTCCCGCTGCTCTCCTACCGGAAGCTGCCCTCACAGCTGTAGACTACCCTGAGATGATCCCTGTCGCCTAGAAGAAACCCTTTTGGTTACTTCTTGCATGGGATGCCTCTTTTTGTTATAACTTTTGTGCGTCTCACTAGTTGTTTTTCCTATGTCCTCGATTTAGACAAGTTTTTTCTCATGTTGTTTCCAAACTTATGTCAAGTACTTTGGAGACTGAATGCTTTTTCTTCAATGGAAGTTTTACTAGTACTACAAGCAGTATTAGCAAAAGAAACCGAGCATGAAAAATACCTTTCCATAATATCTGCGCATTTCTTCCCTCTCTTCTGTTTAACCTGAATCTTGGCAAAGATCTCCTCCACTGGACTCAATGCGTCTTGCTGGTATAACCACCATTTAGGCTTTCGCCATGATTATGGACCCTTGATGGCTTGGATTGGATTCTTGGAATTCACTCTCAAAGATGACATCAAGACTTACCAGCGAGTGAATTATTTTACATCAAGACCGCGGCTTAGGCATGCATCAACCATTGTCAACATATGAGGGGAGGTGCTTGCAGCAAACGATATCATGTTGCCTCGCTCGTCATTTAGAATACAGTTTGCACTCTGCACCACCATTTCCATCTGTGTCCTTAAATCAAGAAACCAATTGGTCTTGAAACTCCCACAAAGTTAGTTACTTGTAATCGGTGTAGTTACTACTCACTAATTTTGTATATATGTACAAAAAATGGATTGTGAGTCTTGTGAAAAATTTAACACCACATTGCTCTCTCGGTACAAGGAACTACACATCCCTTATCATCCGGTCCAGTCTATTAGATCAGAGCGAGGTACACGTATTTTCGACAGTTGTTCTTCAGCTTCTGTATGATTAATAACAGCACCTCGACACCCTGGAAAGCCACATGAACATGAAAGCCGCTCACCGACTGAAAATAACCTGTAAAATTAGATGATCAGAGATAGCCAATGCTTATATACAATTATCTCAGATGATTTAAAGAACATGAAAATGAAACTTGTAGTCGTCATAGGTCGGCTCTTCCCGTCTAGCTATATCCTTCTTTACCAAAATGATCACGGTAATCCATTTGCTTGGAGAAGATCCAGGTTCGAATTAAAGCGGCACATTAACGGACCCGGTTCGAATTAAAACCGGCGGCTTTATTGACGAACCTGCCCGGTTCGAATTAAACCGTTTATATAGACAAACAAACCTAGGGATTTTAAAACTCTAGTTTCCTCCTTCCACAGCTCCTCTATTTGTCCACTCTCGTCTCTCGCCACTCGCCAGCTTTCTTCCTCCACCATTTTCGTCGCTTCAAAACCCTATCATATACTCTAGTGAACCTCTCTCTTCCTACGAGCTCTCTTTTTGAACGGCAAAATTGAAATCGAATCCATCACTTGCTCTGATCATCCGTTCCTCCTCTCTCTCTACTGTTTCGATTCCCAAACTCCCCGGACGATGGATCTGCCTAGCCTCGCTTTGATCCTCCGAGCCGCCGCACTCAGCCCTAACCCCGATGAACGCAAAGCTTCTGAGCAGCAACTCAATCAGGTCTTTAAAATTCTCTTTATACACTGTTGCTGACGTAGGCAGATGATTGTTCAAATATGCTATTGCTTTAATTTTGATTTCAATGATTTCTAATAGACCTTAAGTTCAAATTTTGATTATTCAAAGATGTTTGTGGCTATTCTCAGTTGCAGCATACGCCACAGCATTTGGTGAGATTGTTGCAGATAGCCGTGGATGGGAGCTGTGATATGGCAGTTCGTCAAATCGCTAGTATTCAGTTTAAGAACTTCATTGCTAAGAACTGGTCACCTGAAGATTCGGGTGCAGGGGAGATATTGCAAAGCGATAAAGAATTGGTGAGGGACAACATACTCGTCTATGTCACTCAAGTCCCAACCTTACTCAGGTAAAATTTTCGAGATAGCTCTTAGACTTATCATTCTAGTCATTTGGCTTATTCTTTATTGGCTCGTTTATTTGTGGTTTCTGGTAAATTTTTTGCCTGATGTCTTGTGTCATTTTGTTAAAAGATGACATAACTTGTTTGATAGATAGTCTTCAAGCTGATAGTCCTCACCTTTGTTTTACTTGGACTTACAACAGAGCAGACTCATATATGTATCATGCATCTGTATATGTGTCTTTGCATTGTCTCTAGTCCCTACATGTCATGAAACAGTGGATGGTGGATGATATCTTAAGAAGTTGTCATTTTTTCTTAAGCCTTGATTAACAACCGGATCTTTGTTTTTATTTTTCTCAACGCCAATCATAGTTGTCTCAATTCTCCCACCTAATTTCCTTATCCAGATCACAACTTGGAGAGTGCCTCAAGACTATTATTTATGCTGACTACCCTGAACAATGGCCACGTCTTTTGGATTGGGTGAACTACAACTTGCAGAATCAACAAATCTATGGAGCTTTGTTTGTGTTGCGGATACTCTCTAGAAAATATGAGTAAGTTACATCACTCTCCATTCCGTATTTTCTCATTCCCGTGTCTATCATTCAAAGATTTGTGAGTAAAATTTTGTCAGTGGCGCAAATTCGACTGTTTCAGTGTAGCACCACTCCTGAGTAGAAAAGTTAAGGGAAGAGACAATTGTATTGGAAAAGGAGTGTTAAGTGTTAAAAAAGTTAATGGACAATACAATGGTGTTCATGGCACTTTCAAACATTATTTGTAATGTCTTATGAAGTTTAGACGAGTTCCAACTATAGGAACGCAAGGTGTTTATGACATGCAAACAAGCAGCAAATCTAGACGATACTCTCATTTCATGCATAACTAACACACATCCCCTTGATCATGTGTCATGATTTTGTTTTCTAGGTTCAAGTCAGACGAAGAGAGAACACCTGTTACCCGCATTGTGGAGGAGACGTTTCCTCTACTTTTGACTATTTTTAAGGGGCTTATCCGGATAGAAAATCCATCGCTGGAGATAGCAGAACTTATGAAGCTAATATGCAAAATATTTTGGTCATCCATATATGTAAGTCGCTAGAGAAATCAGTTAATTGTGCTTCTCTCTGCGGAATACATATTGATTTTCCTAAAGTTATTATGCATAACCTTAAAAACAATTGAAACTAGTTTAAAATTTTTGTGTAGTATTTATTTATCGAAGTGTAAGATGTCGGACAAGGACTCCTAGATAGGTGGTTACATCTCCTCCACTTGTGATTCCTGTCTGTGTTTTCTAGTATTTGAGATTATCACTTGCATTGCATGGTGTCTTATCATATTGGCACTTGGCAACTTTGCTAGTTGATCCCCGCTCTGGTTTAGGAAAACCCCAACAAATAAACAAAAGACTGACATCATAGGCTTCCTAAAGCCATCCATGTTCTTGTTTTCTTATCGTTATGATTTATGATATCCTGATCTTTATTTTCTGTTACTCTCAAATTCATTTCTTATTATTTTCTGTGGCAGCTGGAGCTCCCAAAGAAATTATATGATATAAACGTATTCAATTCTTGGATGGTTCTCTTCTTGAGTGTTTCGGAGCGTCCTGTTCCAGTTGAAGGCCAGCCTATGGATCCGGAACTTAGAAAATCTTGGGGCTGGTGGAAGGTCAAGAAGTGGACAGCGCGCATCTTAAGCAGACTCGACAGTCGGTATGTCTCTGAAGCTTATTTGTCGCTGAACGATAAGTACTCTCCACTGAAATTGTGTGAACATTATTCGTTGTGACAGGTTTGGAGACCCAAAACTTCAAACTCCAGAAAGCAAACCTTTTTCCCAAATGTTTCAAAAGAATTATGCAGGCAGAATTTTGGAAGGCCACCTGAATTTTCTGAATACAATTCGTGTTGGAGGCTATCTTCCTGATAGAGTTACCAATCTTATCCTTCAGTACTTAAGCAACAGGTTTGTACAGTTAGTTTCATTGGCATACATGTATACGTTCAGTATGCCCACCTGGCTGACTTAAATTCTCATTTCCCTGTAGATTAGGTTTCTGGTCAGCGACTTTAAACTTACTGATTTAATCAGAACACTTTTTGATGTTTATATGTTTTTCTGTAATTTCACACTGTTCTAGCTTTTATCATGTACTAAAATGTGTTCTTTCATTCTCCCTGCAGCATAAAATAAATAAAAAGCATACTACTGTATTTTTGGCATGTGGCATCGTTGAAGGGAGTTCTTTATCCTTTGACACTAATTCATTGTACTTGCAGCATTTCGAAGAAAAGCATGTACAATTTGCTGCTACCTCGGCTGGATGTTCTGCTTTTTGAGATTGTTTTCCCTCTAATGTGCTTTAATGACTCCGATCAACAACTTTGGGAGGAAGACCCACATGAATATGTGAGGAAAGGTTACAGTAAGTATTAAAAATTAAAAATAGTAAATTTCTTGAAAAGTTTTAAACATGTCATATTTATTGATATCTGCTGTGCTGCATTGCAGATATAATTGAAGACTTGTACAGTCCGCGAACAGCATCTATGGATTTTGTAAATGAATTGGTTCAAAAACGTGGGAAGGAGAACCTTCCGAAATTTATTCAGTTTATTGTAGGGATCTTCAGGAGGTATTCCATTTGAGCTCTTCTGCTTTGGTCATCTTCTTCTTGTTGTGAACTTGTTTTCCCATTGTTTGTAGTTATGACGAAGCTCCTGCTGAACATAAGCCTTATCGTCGAAAAGATGGCGCGATGCTTGCTGTTGGAGCTCTTTATGATAAACTGAAGCAAACGGATCCCTATAAATCTGAGCTAGAGCATATGTTGGTGCAACATATTTTTCCAGAATTCAATAGTCCAGCTGGACATCTTAGAGCGAAGGTATTCATTGTTTTGGCTTTTTAAAATATGTCATGGATGCCTCAGCAATCCATGGTTGCCATAGTAGGGGTTCTGTTATACTTCTCAATTTATTTGGGAACTCTCTGTATCAATTCTTCAAAGAATTGTTGAACGAACGAAGAAATTTTTTAAAAAGGATAAATGATTGCGATACTTGGACGACTGCTGAGAAGTTGTGGATATTTTAGGATGGACTTCCTATTTTATGTCCAGTATTCTTCTTTGGTAGCCCCTTGATCTGTTAACAATCGTTTTTTTTTTGGATGCAGGCTGCATGGGTAGCTGGACAATATGCCCATATCAACTTCTCAGATCAGAACAACTTTCGTAAAGCATTGCACAGTGTTGTCTCGGGAATGCGCGATCCTGATCTCCCTGTCCGTGTTGATTCAGTTTTTGCATTACGTTCATTTGTTGAGGCTTGCAATGGTATGTGATTTTCTCCTATGCATTTATATGTCTGAATCTGTTTGCATTTGTTTTACTCGTGTGCGTTGTCTTCTTGAATGTGTATATGTGGCTGATTAAAACTCTGGTCAAACTTCAGATTTGAATGAGATACGTCCAATCCTCCCTCGGTTACTTGATGGTAAGTAACCCTTGTTTATTAAAACCAGATGGTCTGTATCGTCGGAGTAAACTAATGCCTTTAACTTAATGGTGATCTTGCTCCTATCAGAATTTTTCAAACTCATGAATGAGGTAGAGAACGAAGACCTTGTTTTTACGTTGGAAACCATTGTCGATAAGTTCGGTGACGAGATGGCTCCATATGCTTTTGGATTATGCCAAAATCTGGTAAGAAAATGAGCTCTCTCATGTGTCTAGTTGATTTGAATAATTTGAGATATATTTATTACCGCCACTTCTTTTTCTCAGGCGGCTGCATTTTGGAGGTGCTTAAACACGTCAGAAGCCAGTGATGATTCGGATGATATGGGAGCTTTAGCTGCTGTTGGTTGTTTGCGTGCCATAAGTACAATCCTTGAATCTGTTAGCAGTCTTCCTCAGCTGTTTGTTGAAATAGAACCAACGATACTTCCGATAATGCAGAAAATGTTGACCAGTGATGGCGAAGGTAAACTGATGTATAAAAATACTTACCTCTGGTCCTTAGTTTGTGGACTCCAAGCATATTTAAGTTATGTTGTGTCTAGATGATGGGCTTTTGGACTGAATTGATAGCCATTTTGATTTATTCCATTAGTATGCATTTTCAGATTATCTTTCTTTCTTTTTTTTTTGTCAGCCATTTGTTGTGCAGCGGCATCAGATCTCAAGATCATTCATTTCCTTTTCCAACTATATTAATATAGAAACTAAAGCATTTAAATTCTCATCCTATTTGCTTTGGCAGATGTATTTGAAGAAGTTTTGGAGATTGCATCATACATGACCTTTTATTCCCCTAACATTTCCTTGGGTGTATGGAGTCTCTGGCCATTAATCGTGGAAGCGTTGGTCGATTGGGCAATTGATTACTTTCCAAGTATAGCTTCTTTCGTATCTGTCTTCTGTATAGTTTACTCTGTTACTGCGGAACTTCCATTCACTAAGTTATTTCTTTGAAAATGTAGATATTTTGGCTCCGATGGACAATTTTATATCAAGGGGTACTGCTCGTTTCCTCGCTTGCAAGGAGCCCGACTACCAGCAAAGCCTATTTAATGTTCTTTCAACTGTAAGTATATCTTCCATAGTTATAGTTCATGTAGTATGTGGTCTGAACTGTTAAAGGTATAATTTTTTGTACGTATCATGAAGGATAGAATCTTCCTTTATTGTATAACAAAAATTGTGGGTTACCCATGCCTTCTGGCACAAGATTGTTGGCCGCGAGTGTATTGGGTAACACGAAAAATATATTCTTTTAGCATTAACATATAAGATATAACAATTCTTGCAGCCGTAGTGTGAAGATAAGCATATCCCAAGCTTCTATCCCCAAGCAAATCACTCATCAGTCTTCATAACAATACCATTTGTTACCATCATAGCTAATTTATATCTCACGTTTCTGTTTCTACAGCTTATGACCGACAGAAACATAGAAGACAGCGATATTGAAGCAGCTCCAAAGCTTATTGAAGTTGTTTTCCAGAATTGCAAAGGGCAGGTGGATCACTGGGTTGAACCATATCTGCGACTCACTATTGATCGGTTACAACGAGCGGAGACTTCATACTTGAAATCTCTTCTTATACAAGTGGTAAGAACTGTGTGGAGAATGTTTTGACCTGCTGTGATTCCAACTTTCCAGTTTATTCTGTTTTATATTAGGTGACATGTTCTTTCAATGTCACTATATGAATCAGGCGGGCTTGCATTGAATTTATTCCTAGATCAAGTTCTCAAAGAAAATCATGATGTCTATTCGCAGGTGGCAAATATGCTTTACTACAATCCAAGTTTGACGCTAGGGGTATTGCATAATACAGGGCTTGCTTCAACAGTGTTTGATCTTTGGTTCCAGATGTTGCAACAGAAGAAAAAGAGTGGCCAGCCAGCAAATTTCAAAAGGTATATTTGTTGCTCTTTATTAGGTCTTACCTTGTTCATGGTAGCTTAAGTGCAATGGTTAACGGATAAAGCAAATGCTCTATTTTTACCAGGGAACATGATAAAAAGGTTTGCTGCTTGGGTTTGACTTCATTACTTGGTCTCCCTGGTGGTCAATTCCCCGTCGAAGCTCTGCAACGTGTTTTCAGGGCAACACTTGATCTTCTAGTTGCATATAAGAATCAGCTAGCTGGTATGTTGTACTCATGATCCAGTTTTTGTGGTGATTCATCATCCCTTTTCTCACCACTTAGTGTGCTAACGCTTACAGTTATTCCCTTTCCCATATCTCTCGCAGAAGCAGCCAAGGTGACAGAAGTCGATTATGAGGATGAAATGAATGGACTCGAGAGTGATGAAGAGGACGATGATGATGGGTCTGATGGGGAGATGGGTATGGATGATACCGAGGATGGAGATGAAGCAGAAAGCATGAAACAGAAGTTAGCTGCACAGGTTTGTCTAGTGCTTGTACCGACTTCCCTCTGCCAAAGATGCTTTGTTTTTAACTAGAATTGACTCTTTGCGAATTCCGTGTCGCAGGCTAAGTCCTTCAGATATGTTGATGAAGATGACGATGATTCTGATGATGACTTCAGCGATGATGACGTGTTCCAGTCACCCATCGATGAGGTGGATGCCTTTGTATTCTTTGTCGACGCAATCAGAGGTACCGCTACATAAAATCTTATAATCATCAACCTTGAGCACATGATACTTTAGGGAGCAGTGAACACCTTGTAATCACATCCGTGTCCTTGAAACACAGTTATGCAGGCATCAGATGCGCAGAGGTTTCAGAGCCTTAACCAGTCACTGGATTTCACTTATCAGGCGATTGCAAACGGAATAGCACAACACGCAGAGGTGAGAAGAGTGGAGATCGAGAAGGAGAAGCAAAAGACAGCAGCAGAAGCTGCTGTTACTCCTGTTCCTGCTACATGATCTCTAAGCGTGGATGGTCAAAGTCATAGTGTCCGATAAGCACCGTGAGATTCTCGTTCATACATATATGCAGCATTGCTGTTTGCTTCCAGGTTATACAAACAAAGAAGCATAGTTTTGTGGATTTTAGCTAAAACCATCATCTCCAGAAACCGTGTGGTTGCGGTCAGAAGGTTTGAATGTTTTGGTGAGATTGATTGACCAAGATGATGGTCTGAAGAAAAGGTGTGAAGTCTTCGTCTTGCATGGTTCTGGTGTTTTGTGTGTCACTTATTCTGGATTTGGTTAAAGAGACTTTTTTTGGGAGGGGGGGGGGGGGAGGGTGGGAGATTGTTATGTACTCTTTCGTCTACATTGCCTAGCGCTGCACACATTGTCGTTTTGGTACGTGTAGTTTTGGTAGGAAAGTTATACTGATTTTTTTTTTGTGATCTCACATAGAGATCAGCAAGGTCACTCATCAGGTTGTACGACCATTCTTTCATAAAGTGAAAATTATTATCAAAAAGTTTTCTTTAATGTATTGTATTCGAAATCTAAGCATAAAATTTCCTTGATTGTTTTGTAATTAGTTATTTTAAATTGAGAAGTGATCTTAAATATCTCAAATAACAATACCAAAAAAAAAGAGTTATAGCTTTAACCAAAATAACTAATTTGGTTAAGGCTCAACTTGCCAAGGCTCTATCAAGGCTAGAGACAACTGACAAGGTACGTGATTTGAGCATGTTACAGTTTCTGCACTCATCAAGTATTAAACGTTTCTTCTCTGATCCAACTAGGTGAAGGCTTTGGAGCAAACTAAAACGCATGACTGAAGGAAAGACTGTTGCCTTGGGGCAGAAGATATATTTGGTCCTTTACACACTGCAACTCACTTTCTTTTGTATGGATTTCGATCTGATATCAGAGGCATTGATAAAGCAAAGATGTAAACGATTCTTTTTGTTATTTGGCTGGATCGTTCAAGCTTTAGCATCCACATGGAACTATGGCGCTTTGTTGCAGCTGGCAAGCAAGGTGACTTTTTCAGCAGATACCGAAACTATAGCGTGCTATTGACATTTGAGGATAACAAAGATTGTATTGAGTTTGTTTGCAAAATACTAATCTCCTAATTTAACATTTTACCAAAAAAAAAATACTAATCTCCTTGAATGTTAAACAAAAATATCTTTCTCTTCCATTTGGTTTCATTTATTACAGATATGAATCAATATGATCTTTGCTTTCTTTTTCTTTGGGAGAAAAAAACAAAAGTAAATCTTATGAAACTTTGTGAAGTAACAAATGAAGCAAAAGGTAAATAATTTAGAAACCATAAGTGAGGTCAAGAGGAGGAACAGCAAGATAAACCAAACCCTTGGTTAGATCCCTTATTGTCGTCCTTAACGAGACTTACTCGGCTGTTCCACTTCAGTTCGGTTTTATGTGTATCGGAGTTGAGTTGTTTCCGGCTAACATTTGTGTAGATGTCGCGGATTACCATTTCAAACGCTGTTTTAACGTTTGTTGAATCAAGAGCCGATGTTTCCATGAAGAATAGTCCTTGTTTTTCAGCTAGGGATTTGCCTTCTTCCACGCTCACTGCTCTCATGTTATCTAGATCGCACTTGTTCCCCACCAGCATCCTCGCCACCGTTGTATCCGAATGTGCTGCCAAGAATCAAGATCAGTAAAGTTTTTTACCAAACCAAGGTTCAAATAAAAAAAAGTTGATGAGAAGCTTCTTTCTCTTTCGAAAAAAGAAATGTAGTTAGCCTAATCACTGGGATGTAGATTCATATAAATCTTTAAGAGAATAGATAGAGAGATTATAGCTACCTAATGATAATAATCAAGAGGAAGCTAAGAAAATAAAATGGACACAATTTACTTACTTCTTATAGAAAGCTGAAACCATTTTACATTGGACAATTCTCTCAAATAGATTTATTTAAGTTTCTATCATAAAAATAGATTTCAAACACTAAAATGAACAAAATAACATTTTTTGACTTGCAGCCTAAGTAACAACAATGTCTCCACAAAACCTCCAGATCTGATTGTCCTCTACACTATAGTGAGCATATAAACCAAACAGCTCATCCACAAAACACAAGTCGTCATTTTGCAATTACAGTCAAACTATAGTACCTAATTGCAATATTCCAAAATAAACTGCTATGAAAACTTACTCTTCAGCTCGTCAAGCCAACGTCCGACGCTCTCGAAGGTGGAGCGACGGCTGATGTCGTAGACGACGAGTGCTCCGACGGCGCCGCGGTAGTACGCGGAGGTGACGGCACGGAAGCGTTCTTGACCAGCAGTGTCCCAAATCTGAGCTTTGACCTCTTTGCCTTCGATCTCCATGCTCTGCGTCTGGAACTCGACGCCGATCGTTGCTTTTGAATGGGCGTTGAACTCGTTCCGGGCGTAGCGAGAGAGAAGGTTTGATTTCCCGACGGCAGAGTCGCCGATTATGACAATCTTGAAGAGGTACTCCTCTCCTCCTTCCTCATCGGACGACATTTTTTGTCTGCACTTCTAGAGAGAGAAAGTTGAGACTGGTTTTTAGAAGGAGAGAGAGAGAGGCGCGGAGCTGGCAAGTGGCAAGGAAATGAACAAGACAGGACATACTGCGCATGAAGTGATTCAATTCTTTATGAGTTTTGAATTTCTTTTTTAAATTTATTAATATTTTCTAAGTTTTTGAATTTATGATCCGTGAAATTTGGTGGAATTAAATTATTATAGACAGAATGGGCCAGCAACATATGTTCTGTTTCCGAAAGCCCACAATTAGTGATGTTAAAGTAGCTCAAAAAGCATGAGAGTGTGAGGTTGGTCTAAAATGTAGTTGCTGTAAAAACAGTGAATCATATATTTACAATTAATTGATGGTATTTATTGAGTTATTCTTGGGTTCACCCCATATTTGATATCTTTTAAAAAATGAAACAAAATCTTGTTAAGTTATATTATATTTTTAAAAATAAAAATACAAAAAACTAATAACAGCGAAAATAATTTTTTCAAAGAAAATATTTTAACACTAAACCCTTACTCTAATCTAAACTCTAAACTCCTGGTTAAATCATCCATAAACAGATTTTTTTAATCACAATTATCTTGCGATGCACTTAAGATACCGTGATAATGATGATCTTATAGCCTATAAAATTCAAAGGCTGGCCTTGTCAGTTGATATATCTTAAGATACCGTGATAATGATGCTCTTATAGCCTATAAAATTCAAAGGCTGGCCTTGTTAGTTGATATATGTGAATTAAGTACGACTTATGTCTGCTAAATTTTTAAAACATTATAAGATTTATCCATGCCCAAGCATAAGTCTCCCATCCGGGATTTATTTTCAGTGATTACATCTTTCTTTTCTTTTGGGGACAGCGAAGAAAAATCATTCGAAAGCAAAGCGGAAAGGCAGATCACAATCACAAAACTCACTTCACACTCTTACAGATTCTTCCTCTGCCGGCACAATTCATTTTGGCTGAAGCTCGAATATGAGTTTAGTGTAATAAAATTGATTTCAGTGAGAAGAATCGGGTGAGAGGAACTGTGGAGGATTCGTAGGGAGGGAAAGATGAGGAGGCGGAGGGTAGCTATTGTTGAGTTGGATATGGCTTCTCCTTGCTTCTTTCTCTGTTGCTGGATTGGTTCTATTCATGGTTCAGCACTGTCAACAACAAGATCCATCTCAGCCAACACTTGTATGTCTTCCTCTCTGCAGGTCTTTATTCAATTTTTTTTAAAATTTTTTTTAAAAGCAATGTATTGATTGCTGATATTGAGTTTTGCTCTAATGATCATCTGCTCATGAAAAAATGTTGATCTTTGTAGTTTGCATTGACAAAAGATTGGTGTCATTGTAGCATAATGTTTTTTTAAGCTGAGAATGGTTTATTAGGTTGGTCTCTGTATCAATGGAATCAGTGCAAGATGATCGGACACTTGTATAGATGAGAAGTTAAGCTTTTAAAAGGTTGTATAGTTTTACTAATTTTTTTGGTTGATTAGCGATTAATGTTTGTGAACTGTGAGGATTTCTTTTTGCTGTGTTTTGACCTTTCCTTTTGTATTACTTCTGTTTGTTCAGGTTCTTTCCTGAATGAAGGCCTAGGTGGTTTAGGATTCTTTTAGTGAAGTTGCAGCACACCAAGATTTATTTGACAGGTTCCAACCATGTCTTGTGATCTTAGCTTGAAATGGTAAAGTGTGTTTTTGCATTTTTCTTCTTCAATATAAAACAGTGTCTTTGTTTCTATTAACTGCAAAGAGAATTAAAAATACAAATGTTTACTCATATGGACCTATTGAATTGAACATCTTAGATGCAGTATATCTCTTTTGCCTCATATATAACTCATTGTGGGTATTCATTGCTAAGCTTATTTGGAATCCTCATAGATAGATAGGCGCACTATGTTAAGTATACAACTCGATTTGTTTTCGTAAGGATAGAGCTTGGAAACTTATAACTTTATTTTGTTTCCACCAATCATGTCTTTGTTTTAGTCATGTTTTGCTTACTAGTAAAATGGTTTTTTTTTTTTGTGAAATGGAATCGCTGCATTGTTTGGTCTTGAATGTTTTGCTTGGTACTTCATTGTTTGGTTGTTTTTTTTTAGCATCAAAAGACAACATTTTTTAAGAACCCTTAAATAAGAAACTATCATTGAAGGGTATGAATCAAAGTGTTTCTTAAAAAAGTTCTTAATTACATTTAATTGTAAAATATTCATTACGAGATTCAATGGGGGGGGGGGGTTTAGGTTAATCATGCTCTAAACGATTTATTAAAAAATTGAACAAGCTCTTTTTAACAAATTTGGGAGTTTATATCTGTGTAATGTTCTTCAATTTTTTTTGGACCATAGACAATTATTTCTTAGCTTTATCCAAGAGAAACTTTGTTTACTGAATACAATAATTTCAACAGTAATACGAAAGAGCGAAATTCCTTTATTAGCCCACTAGTTTAACTTTAACTGATAGATTATTAATTTTTTTTTAAACTTTGGATAATATAATAATATAAACTATGATAAATATTATAAACGATTTTACAATTAATAATTATACATGTACTATAAGAAATAACTTCAGAATACACCACTGTTTGCACCACCTGAACAGCTCTATAAAATCCACATTTAACAATACTCCTTACATCATGATGCGGATTTTTTGTATGTTTTTATTCTGTTATTTTGCTTAATTTTGTTTTTTTGATACTTAAAACCTAAATCTTTTAGTGTTGAACCAGTGATGAACTTTTAATTAAGTGGATTAAAAAGGAACTTTCCACGATAGTTTATTAATGTTTATTCACCAAAACATTATGGTTTCGAGTCGCAAAAACGTAAATTAATAGGTCTTCCGAAAAATGTATATTAATAGAGAGAAGTTTTATAGAAAGATTCAGAATAGTGGACGAAGAACTTTTAAGCGTGAATTGTTATGATGCGGTTAGGACGGTGTTAGTCATACATAACTCTTCGTAAGAGAGAGGAAACATTTGGGTCCAAAACCTCGTACGCTTTAGGGGACATTCACTTTTTCATCAAATTCTAAACTATAGGATATATGTATATGAGTTGAGAACTTACGTTTACAATCTAACTTTAACCTATATATGATCAATCATGTTCCCATTTTCTTAGCTTTAAGTTATATCAAAATAGAGAGGTTTACGTACTTCATTGTGGTGTCTTTAATAAAATTGTATCAGTGGCTGAGGCAAAGAAATAATGAGGGTCAGTTGACCCTTATCAACTTTTAATATTAGTTTAATATAAGCATATAACGTTAGATCGGTAGATTGGGTGGAGTGGTAAAAAGGCACGATTAGGACACTAACATATTTCTGTTTCGATCCAGTTGTTGTGCGAAACTAAGTCACAATTATTTTTGATCACCTAACACAAATATAGATCCATGCTTTAGGTCCATTTAAATTCTAGAGATAGAATCTATCCGTAGGCTACACCTCTCTTTAAAGATTAGTCTAGACCTTTTTATAGGTCTTAAATATCCTCTTAATTAAAAAAAAACTTCAGTATATGTTAAATAATGATTTATTTTAATGTTTGACCTCTTTGTTTATTGTGAAATCCGTAATAATTCCATGCTATCTTTTTTAACCTTAAACATAAACATCATTATGTAGTTTTCTTAACCATTCAGTAAATATTGTAAATATGTACGGTTGCCCTTACACTACAAGAAAACAAAGTATATTCCAATGGAAAGTAATTTCCTCGGAATATATCAATGTCATTCCGACGAAATTCTGAAGAAAAGCAAATTTTTATGTTTTCTCGGAATTTTATCGGAAATTTCCACGGTATTCCGAGGAAGCAACATTTTGTCGGTTTAATCCGACGCTATTCCGAGGAATATATATTTGTCGAAATATACCGAGGACAATCTGAGGGTAAATTATAATTGTTATACAGTCGCTGGTATTTTTAAAAATTCTGACGAAATTCCGACGATAATCATGTTTCCGTCGGAATTTTGTCGGAATATACCGATGAAAATCCGAGGGGAATTTATAGCTGTTGTAGAGCCGTTTGGAAATTTTAAAAATTTTGACGGAATTCCGACGAATATCATGTTTCCGTCAGAAAATCGTCGGGATTGTCGACAATATTTCATCTATAAATACAAGCACCCTTCATCCCCTTTATTCATTCAATATTCTCATCCTCTCATTTACTATTTACACACGAATCTGATTCAAAAAAAAATGTCTTCTTTAAATTATTATTGTTCGTTGATTGATCGACCTCATTTGGATCCTGACACGAGATTGCTTACAGAAGAATACCAAAAAAGTATAAATGAATTCATGGGGTTAGTTCAACGACAACCGGAAGCAAAAACGGGTATGTTAAGATGTCTTTGCTCTACTTGTAAAAATAAAAAGGTTATAAAAAAGTGGGATGTTTGGACTCATCTATATTTGAACGGGTTTACACGAAGTTACAAAATTTGGTATCATTATGGGAAAACTGATTATGAATATGGTAGTACTAGCGAACCTTAGACTGCGGATAGGTTAGAAGAACCAAATAGAAATGATGTAGATTATGGTGTAGGTACTGAGGATATGGTAAATGATCATTTTAGAGTAGAAGAATTACCCAATGCAGAAGCTAGGAGATTTTTTGATATGTTGGATGCAGGAAAACAACATTTGTACCAGGGTTGCAGAGATGGTCATTTACCTTTATCATCTGCAACAAGACTGATAAGCAATAAAACATATTATAATTTGGCCGAAGAACGTGTGGATGCGATTGCCGATTTTGTAAGAGGTATTCTACCAGAAGATAATCTAGCCCTGGGTTCATACTACGAAGTTCAGAAACTCGTAGTTGGTCTTGGTTTACCGTATCAGGTAATAGATGTATGCATCGAAAACTGCATGACATATTGGAGGGCTGATGAGAACCGGGTTACATGCAAATTTTGTGGGAAGGCCCGTTATAGAGATACGAGTGGAAGAGTTCCAGTGGCATATAAAAGGATGTGATATTTGCCTTTGACGGAAAGGTTGAAGAGGTTGTATCAGTCTGAACGCAC